ATCGAGCGATTATCGGAGTGTGGTGGATTGGCCGGTAGTTATCAATGGTATGTTTGGGACCACCTTTGTACTGGGGCATAAAGGACGTTTTCCATTAGTCTGAAAAGTGACTAGATTCCAGCGATAGAGTAGATATGTTGATCAAGAACAGTGGTATATCAGGCCCCTCAGTTTAATGGTGATTGATGAAATGCCATCAGATCCCAGCTTGGAGGATGGCCTGATTTACTTGATGGATACCGTTGTGCGAGATATCGACTCCTCTTAAGAAGTTCGTTACTGTAATCTGTGTGCACACAGGCATGGGGTGAGCTTCCCGACTCATGGTACTGGCAAAAAGGCACTGAATGCTTTACAGATTTCAGCTGTATCATGGAGTAAGTGACCCTTACCGTCAACATTTTTGATAATCAGAGGAGAGCGGTCAATGGTTCTACGATGCAGTATTTTGACAAGCTCACTAGCTTTGCAGCTTGTCCGTAGGGCTGTAAGTTCTTCATTTGTTCGTTGTGTTGATAGCGCGTGTTTGACTCTGGTGGTGAATTGGTGAATTTGTAACATAAGTGAAAAGTCTTAAGTCGTTCTGTACCTTGCAGCTAATTTGCGAGCATTTTTGGAGACATGAATGGTATGGAAAAATGGGGAAGCAAGGAGGGCTATGGCGTGGTAGATTTGTTTATACTACCGCTCCCCAGCGGTGTACACACTGGTAAAGCGGGAAATGCATGTCAGTCAGAGAAACGAATGAACGGCCGAAAACATTCCCAGTTCATTTTATAGGTTACAAGTGGCGGTGTAGATGCGAGTTTAGTGGTCATTTTAATGTGGAAAGTGAGTCAGAGCATTTTATGGTGGCTGTCAGGGAGATTGGTTAAGATCTCGGTCTGTGGGCTGGGTATCTCCACTGTGAATATTAAGTCCGATGCATTGGGGACCTGGTTGGACTGGCAATCTGTTGTGTCCAGCCCCCAGCTTTGATGGAACAAAAGTAGCGTGCAATTTAGACGTTGGGTGGGGGGACCAGCGTAGTTTCGGTAGGTTAAAATCGTCGGCACTTATCTGGTTGTGTGGCAACCCTGATGCGTAGTCATATGCAGTAGTGATGTCGGTGATAGAAATATTAATCCTAGCTTCATGCGTCAGCCACTGTGGCTCCAGTTGTAGCATCTTACAACGCTCAGGTAGTTAAGTTTAAACGATGACTAAAGACAGCCTTTGTGAATGATCTCTGGACATTTTCTGCGCACATGCGGTCTTGTTTCTTGCTGCTTGTAAAAATAATCGAACAGCATCCTAGCAAACAGCGAACGCATGCCTTAAACAAATGCCGTTTGGGCTCATGCATCGAGAATGATTTTCAGGAGTTTTGCACTCCTTCCTTATCGGGCCGTTACGAATACAAATTGTTCACCAAAATTCAGAGTACCGGATGCCTAGTTCTCGTATAGTAGTGCGAAATTTCGCACTTGTATTTCAACACACTGCACTTGTCCGATGAGAAGGACATTTGCCAATCAGTACACCAGAATTCCAAAGTCAGGAGGTCTATGCGAACGTTTTCTAGGGTACCGCTCAAACACTGGATAACAAACGTGTATAATATTTGTATGGCATCTGCTAAAATATTTGGTGCCCCAAGTTTTATTTTTTCAGCTACATCTTGTTAAATATTAGGAAGATCAAGGACCTAACACACTACCTGGAATTACGCCCCTTTTGATCTTCAGAAGTGAAGTTAGTGTGACCATTTTGTATCTGTTGCGTACGATCAGATAGGTAACCTTTGAACCATGCGTGCAAGGGATCGCTGATGCCGAAATTGGTTAACTTCGCCTAGAAGCTGTTGTGCGGCACTCTGTCAAAGGCCTTCTGCATATCAATAGGGAGAATGATGGCTGCTTTACCATTGTCATTGACGCTTGTCAGATTGTTTAGAAAAGCTAGCTGACAAGTCTGGCATGAGCATCGTTGCAAAAACCCATGTTGAAGTAAATTTATTAAATTTAATGACAGTAGTGCGTAACCGTTTTCTCTTTCACAATTCTTTCTATCCCGCTCGAAATAACCGGTGTGTAGCTACTTGGACGGTAATTTTCTATGCCTAGTTTTGAACCATTCTTATATCTAGGTTCTATAATAGAAAGCTTTCATTGATTCGAGGACATATCCTAATTCAGAAATAGGGCGAACATGGTTAGAAGCAAAAGGAATATATCCCGACCACCAGTATACTAACACCTGCATGCTTGACGGAACACCTTGTAGCACCTAAGGTCTCACGTAGCTTTACCGGCCACCAACATGTGCAACCCGAAGTCAAACCAGAGCAATTTTTTGCAACGGCAGCAACTTACCACCGCAAACCGTAGTGCCGAGTCTTGCCAGTCCGGTATCCCATCTCTTTTTCAACCACCTAAATCTAGCACAATCTGGAGCAAGTTGAAATACTTGGAAGAGCGACAAATCGCAGAGCACGTGAGTTCCTCGAGACCTGGCTTTCTGGCCGGAACTCAATCAACTAACACCTGGAGCTGGAGGTTTTCTACAAAGTTCTGCAGGTTAAGCCAGCAACAGGCACAAGATCGACAAGGAAAAGAAGTGGTCATTCGGCCGACTCACGTGAACCGGTCGAAGGCTGACATTCGAAGCAGGTAACAAACAATAGTCATTCGGATCCGGCATTGGTTTGCGAGACTCCGCGGATCAGGACTGAATAGCCGCACTGAAGATGTTGCCTAATAATAATAATAATAATAATAATAATAATAATAATATGTCAGCTGTACGCCGTAACGGCGCTTCGCTGCTGCGCGACCACCGCCAGTCGCGCGCGGACTGAGTATACCGCGAGGACGCCCACCCCTACGTGCCAGCACGACTTGATGAAATATTCATATTTTTCTGGATCTCATGTTCCAGTGTAGTCCGATCAGTTCTAATCAATGCAGATGTGGATTCAGTATTCGCTACGATTAGATTTCGGATATTAATGAACGATCGGGCGACCTCAGAGGTGTTGAATCAGCAATATAGAGCAAATGAATTTGTGTGAATTTTTCCCTAGCCTTAAAACAGCATAGTCTACGCCACATAAGTGAACAGCCGACAGAAGTATATGCTTTAATTTAACAGTCGGGTACCTGTCCTGGATATTAAAGATGACGACGTTCTTAGAATGCCTAAGCCTTCCTTGAACTTAGGTGGCAATGGTAGCTATGAGATTATCCGCTCTGGCCAACTCTTCAGTGTATTCGGTTTGCGACGGGTCCAGAATGTACGTTTGTGGGGTCAACTGTCTTATGATTGTTTCCATTACACTCATGTGGGTCTTCAGCTCACTTAACTCTGTTTCCATGACTGCTGTTTTTCCGGATATCTCGATTGCCGGGTCTACCGTCTGAGCGTACATTTTCTTTGGTGTTTTCTCGGCAACAGGTGAGGTAGTATGATTGGTTTTTGCTTTTTGTCTCGCAGCTGATCTCGTTGTAGGAGTTGAGACTTTGCAGCCATTGCGACTTGCACCAATTCCAAAACGGGATTAGATAGAAAAGGAGAATTCGGGATCTATTGTGTAGATGTCTAGGTTATTTACGTTTCCGCTTGTCTAGAATGAATACTTTTACTGGTAGTATGTGACCACGGTCAGTAATTGGGGAGCGAACTACGAATGCTCGCAGTTGGTGATGATGTATCCTAAAGGTTCCTCGACAAACAAGATGGAATAGAGCAAGTATAGATGCGGACACTGCAACAGCGTAGCCCCTTGTATGACTTCGCGGCACTATTTGTTGCGCGGCGATCGACACCGGTTTGAAGTCAGATTCTTGCTTCCGTCACTCCAGAGGGGTCAAATTTGTCGTGTCCAGGTGAGTCACACGTTCTTAGCGCAGCTGAGCGACTTGCGCGCTATCGATCAGGCCGGGAAGTGGATGAGCAGCGGGCAGTCGCCTCTTTCCATGGTTGGATGAAGGCAGAACAAAGTTACTTGGAAAGTATTATTCAAGGGCGACAATGGCTGTCACGAGAACGGGCCAAATTGACTACAAGAAGGAATGACAGTGCGATTTACAGCTAGTGCTCAAAATGCTCTCTAAAATGAGACTACAAAAATTCTTGTAGGACGCGAAGAAGAAGAAAATCCCCGATTAGCTTCAAGCATGGATGACTTCGAAATAGCAAGACCGCAGTATGGTGGTTATCCGCGAGTAAAAGATTCAAAAGATGAATCGTAATTGGAGGAACTCGTGAAGGCGAATCCAATGACAGTACGTAGGTCCTTGTGTGCATAAAGCTGAAGTTTTAGAGGCGAATAACGCAGGAGAACAGTCTTTTTGGGACCGCATGGTAAGGAGACAAGCACAAGCTTTCACAAGTGCAATAGAGATAACTGCATCTTTTTAACTCATGCTTATTAGTAGGCTTTGGTATTGCGGTAGCTCATATGCTAGCTCACACAAAATACTACATAATTCAAAACGCTGATTGGTAGGCCATTTGAACTACTCCTTTTGTGATTGGATCACGACGCACATTGAAGTGAATCTTGACCACTTCGATCATTGGGACCGTAGCTTAATTCAAAATTCTATTCACAAAAACCTGTGGATACCTAATACTCTGAGTAAACAGACTAAAGAACCCAGCCGTCTAGCCTATTTTAGAGGGTGAAGGTTCAATGGATAATCCATGTCTCACGAGCGAGGGATTAATTGTACCAGCGTAAGCAGCTACAGCCATAGATCAGTACATCTTGCTGCTACTTATCTGTCATACAAATATAAGGAAGAACAAGTGATTTTAGGAAGCAGGGAATATTGTGCAATGTAACCTAATATGAGGCCCAACTTATATGGGGCGAGCATTTGCTGTTAACTATACCACAGTTTAACAGCCCCGTACGGCCCCAAGCAGTTAGTCACCAACTAAAGATGTGAGGATGGAGGCGGAAAGGAGTCAACAGCAGAGGCAATGAGACGTGGATGACGACACGTAACAGCTGGTCACCAGCACAGTGGGTTATGCTGTGGATCTTGGAGATGAATACCGTATACAGGCAAAGCAAGTGTCTCTAGGGTGCCTTGGTTACAGTGGAAACGGTCGGAGTCCAGAAGCGATGAATTGAAGAACCTCTTGCACAAGACCGTGTCATGTTGAAACGGAACACTTACGCATAGAAACTCCTCGTCCGCATTGGTAGTATCATCACATGAGCCACGAAGTTGTTCAGCAATCAGCTGCCTACAGGCTAGAACCACACTTAACGCGACAAGATGCTGCAAGCATGTCACGAAGTTCGAAAAGGGCTGTTGTGGTTCGATGTTGGATGAAAGCGGGTTGGTTAGCGTTAAGTGAAAGGTGAAGGAGGCTTGTCCAAAGGGGGAAATCCACTTGTTGTCACCACGACCTGCAAAGGAACGGCAAAAATACCACATAATAAATGTACAAACGTAATGGTGGATGCAAAGTGCCATATCATCCACTATGGCATCGCGACCTGGAGAGAATGAAAAACAAATGGGATGCCAAACAACTCCGCTCATTTATCAAAATAGGAAGGAAATGGTTAAAAGAATACTTGTCAACCGTTGGTGCGGCAGTCGCAAGACAGAATCCGTGAAGTTTAATAAAACTCGAAAAAGGAAAAATAGAAGACAAAAAAAGCTACAATTCTTAATAAAAAATGATGCCCTCTAAATGAGCACACTCCAGAGAATAATCGTACTTACATTTTGAGATGTGACCGTTGAATGTCAATAAAACAAGAGAAAATGAGATCACAAAAAGCGCAAAAGCAACTGAGTGTTCAAGCAAGAGAATAATGGGGCACTCACCTTTGGCACTTGTCTGTTGATTCGAAACAACCAACACACCAGAATCCGCTGGTAGGTTCTTCACAAGGCTGGCAAATACAGAAATAATGTAGTAAACGCATCCTCGCAGAGTACGTAGTGGAGTGACAGAGCAATCACCAGGTATAGAAGTGAGAAATGCATTCAAAACGACAAGCAGTGAATTTCCATACAGTTCAAATCAGTCTTATAAAACCAAATGAGTTCAACATCCGCATTCACACTACCAATGCGCATGTGCTGGAAGAGAACAGCAAATAAAAATACGTGCGCGAAAAAAATAAATAGTATACTTGTATGGATATAAATATATGTCCATCGCAATGAGGCTGGACCTTACCGTGGTGCGATGGTTTGTGCGCCGCAGAGATCCATTGAGCTATGCTGGGTGGTGCTTTTTTTGCACCTTCAGAGCCACTCATACCAGATTGGTCAATGGTTAGAGGCCAGACAAACTCAGCCTCCTGGTCCTCTAGGTTGGGGGTTGGAATGAGAGTGGCCCCTTATTCCTTAAAACGCACCCATTGTAGCCCAACGCCAAACCCGCCGCCTTGCGGTAATGTTTTTGAACCAAAGGCTTTGGGTGAGAACGCTAATCGTTCTCCTGTCTAGGCCTGGGCAACCTGACAATATTCTGCCAACACAATACAATGAATTTCTTTTCCAACAGTTTCCTGATGCTCTGGCCGTCGAAGAGGATAAGCAACGATGCCCTATCTGCTGCATCGACCACGGTGGATACTGGTTTGGATGCTACTGCTTAAGCCTACCCATCATCCTATTCAAAAAACTTAAGCTTTTACACCCTTACCGTCTCGTTCCAACTCCACTTTTATCCCCCTAGTATTCAACCCCCGAAACTTAGTCTTCCCCTAAAATACTTTGCCAGGCTTTAGCTTATAGTTTCAACTCAAATGTGAACGCAAAACGTCATTCCTGCCCTGTCAACAAGTCCATGTCCAAGCAAGCGGTCAAGCCCAATTCATCGGCTTCCATTTAGAGCCCTCCATCCTCCTTCAGAATGGCATGCCTCAATGTTCGCACACTGCTTCAGATCGGTCAACAGGCAGCACTTGCCCGAACATCAGAGAGCCTCACCATCAATATATGCTGCTTATCGATGACCCGCCTGTAAGACTCGAGCTCTGTGCTCACTCTGCGATCCCCTTTAGGTGACATCAGCAGCACTTTCTCATTGCGCCTATCCGGTGATGAGGCAGCTTCGAGTACGGGCCAAGCAGTTGTTCGTATTGCTTTGAGTCCACGGGTTAAAGCAAGTCTGTTTGATTGGATCCCAATCAGTATCCGGATGTGTGCGGTCCGACTGGCTGGCTCGTTCAAAGCTTCGAAGCCGCACGGGACTAATAAGTGTCTTGAGTATCGCTGAGTACGCACCCACCAAATCTAGCGATGACTCGGTAAAAGACGACTTCTATCGCCAACTGACCGAGCGCCTACACCACAGAAGAAGCACGGACACTGTTGTGCTGAAGAGAGGTGTAAACGCTCTGGTTGGAAAATTATCCACTGACGAACTGCATCTTGGTAGCCAACATGGAGTAAGCTCCCGTAATGATAACGGCGAGCGGTTACTTCATTTGTGTGTGAAGATTCTCGCTTATTTCTTGTGAGCAATAACTTCCGACACAACACCCACCGGAGGGTGACTTGGCGCCCGCCAGCCTCGAACCAGCTTCTAACGCTAATCGATCGCATTGCAATCAGTTGCCGCTGGAAAGGCTGCGTCCAGAACTGTCGCTCGATTTGGAACACATGTATGGACACCGACCATGCACTTGTATGTGCTGACATGCGGATGCGTTTTGGCGGACGCCCACGACGATGCTGTGAGCGCATTGATACCAGTCAACTGGCGAAGCCAGCTGTTCTTAATGTGTATCGAAGTACGCTGTCATGCGAGTTGAGTAAGCGCTCACTAGATCCAATTGAAGCTCACTGGTCACATGTTCACCAGACCTTAATAGCAGCAGGCGAATCCTCATGTGGTAAGTCTAATAAACAACATGGACATTGGGTCTCTTCGCAGTCTCTTGAACGTCGATGGTCGCCGGTACATTACGGTTGGAAGCGAATACAATGAGTTTCGCAGAGCTCTGGGAGAAACTCCGTGCTAGCCTAAAGAGGGACCGCGAATCCTGGTGGCCTCTTCGTGCGTCAGAGATGAAAGTGGCCGCTGTCCTTGGTAACCATCGAAAGTTATTCCGTCTGATATGGGAAACGACCAGCAAGAGACTTGGTGTTAATGAAACTATACGCGACGAGAGTGGACATCTTATGCACAACTTGTCAAAACTTGGAGCGTTGAGCTGGAATTGTTAGATTTCTCACCGGTCAGTGATAGTCCTGCTTTCTGGGCTGTCCCTTTGGATCACCCTTTTGTTCAGAAGTCGAACGTGAGGTCGGACTGTTAAAGATGAACAAAGCCGAGGGTCCGGATGATCTTCATCCAGCCATCTTCAAATTCGAGGGACCTGCTTTTGCTAATGATTTACACGAGTTATTAGTGAAACTGTGGGAGCAGGAAACTGTCCCAACTGACTGGAGCCGCTCCCTTATTGTTCCGAGCTTCAAAGCAGGCGCGCTTGCGGAATGCGACAACCATAGAGGAATCAGTCTGATCCCCATCGCCTCCAGATTGCTTGCCTCCTTCACAAACTAACCGGCACTCGTGAAACCGAGATTTGTGAGGAGCAAAACGGGTTTCGTCAACGTCGTGGCTACATTGACCACATCTTCACTTTGCGTCCGTTGTTGGAGCACCGTCAAATATATTGGCGACCCACCGTTGCTGTGTTCCTCGACATCAAAGGTGCCTTCGATTCGGTTGAACGATGGGCCCTTTGAGACTGTCTACTCAGGAAAGGTGTACCCAAGAAACATATGTAAATATTATCCGAGCATTATACGCGCGTAGCTCGGGCAGAGTGAGGGCTTACGGCGAGCTGTCGTCACCCTTCAGTATCTGCAGCAGTGTGAGATAAAGATGCCCACTGTCACCTTTCTTCTTCAACTTCGTTATTGAAGAAAACACGGAGATCGCGTTCACAGGTCAAGACTTAGAATGTGTGGAGCTACTCCTAGGAGAACGACTTATTGACTTGGAATATGCAGACGATATTGCCCTCATATGTGACAGCTCCCAGACGTGAGAAGCCGCGCTGGACAGATTAGCACTGGCTGTCAGCCGTTTCGGGTTTTGCTTTGTACCATCGAAGTGCAAGGCGTTCCTCCAAGATTGGTCTGGACCGCCTCCTATGCTGACCCTTGGTGGGGATCAGCTAGAAATCGTTCAAAAATTCAACTACCTGGGAAGTTGTATCAGCGCCCGTGGGAATGAAGATAAAATCACGAACCGTATAGCAAAACCTTGAGGCGCTTTTGTTAACCTTCGCCACTTATGGCGCCGGCGCGACATCACTCTTGTCTTGAAGGGTAGAGTGTACAATGCAGCGCGGTACGTTCAACACTACCGTACGGTTGTGAAACCTGACCCCTTAGAGCAGCGGACCTGAAGAGGCTAGTTACGTTCGACCACCGGTGCCTTCGCAATTTAACTCACATCTGGTGGCAACACCGCGTGAGCAACGAGCGTGTTCGACGCGTTGTTTACGGCACAGGAAAAGGAAGTGAACCGCTCAGCACCGTTATTTCACGCAGCAGGCTCCAATAGCTCGGCCACGTGTTACGACGCATGCCAGCCTACCGGCTCCCGCGACGTTCATTGTTTGCGCGCCGGACGTGTGGATGGAAGAAGAGGAGAGGTGGCCAAGCGATGACTTGGTCGAGAGGAATGAAGGTCCTTACTTCGAAGCTGGCCTCGGTTTGAGCGCGTCGGCTCCCTGGTTGGGGTCCGGAAGATGCTGAACATGTTTGGCTGGATACACTTGCTGATATGATTAGGAGCCGACCTCAGTGGCGTTCGTGCTGAGTTTCTTTATCCCACCCCATCCCTCTTAGCCTCCCCCCGCAACTACGATCTTACTATTTAGACCTAAATAATTTTGCATAGTAACTTTTTGATGCACAGTAGCCGGCTGGTAGCTTACCGGAACGATGCCCATCCGTTACCGGTGGCTCAGCTGAATTGCACCTGCTGCATATTTTTCTCCATTTTTTCTTCTATGTATTGCGTCACAGTAGCTGAGGTGTTTCCCACCTCTAGCTAACGTGTATGATGATGATGACTGCAAAGTATCAGTAGGACGTGTGCTTTATCGATAGAACAACGGCTGAGGTCCGAGCAGCATGATGCTCATGCTTGTTTCAAAAATGTCTCCTCATAATTGGTTTAAATGTGTTCCAAAGTTTGTGAGCATATTCGACGAAGTACGAACTTCTGGCAATATAAAGCAACGTATTTGAAGAAAATTGACGCAGTAAAGCATCAAAATTGACCTTGAGTGCAGTACAAAAATGATTTGTCTTAAAAGATCCACATGAAACGTAAGATCTGTAGTACAGTGTTCCAACGATAATAGTAACGGCCGTATTTAAAGGCTATGTCTCGATGACCCGTGCCGTGGTGATGTTTGCATATCGGGTTGTATTTGGTTTAAGTGGGAAGCGAAGTTAAGTGTCGGAGTCATGCGGGCACGTGTAAACCATTGGCATTTCCCATATTACACGGATCGAAGAGTGGAAGAAGGGCCCCAAAGTAAGACAGTTGAAATACCGTCATTGGACGCGATGTTTTGCTAGCGAGCACTTCCTAACCCAGAGCGCAAGACAAGTCGGTCACAGCGGGGAAGTGTAATTTCAATGGCTTCTGATGCGGAATCACTCTAACTCAGCTAACGGTTTTTCGGTACTAATAGTAGCGAGAAGAGACATAAGTCTAGTCGCCGGGGATTGGAAAAGATAAAAACTAAACAAGAAAATTGATGAGAGGAAACGTGATATGTATAGACAACAGTCATGCATCAATGTGGAACAATGTGAATCGTCGGTAAGTACTAAAAAGATAAGTAACCCATCCAAAATATAGCTGGGGAGCAACAGATGCTCGAAAAGCGTTACATGCGGATGTAGGACGTGTATGTCACCAATGCAACTATGTAGCCTAAACGGTCGATGTCGCAGGAAGTGGGCAAATTTCAGACGAAATAAGACTGTAAAAAGCTTGCAAATAAGGTGAGGCATCAACACACCTCAGACAGAAGTCCCAACTCGACTCCATAGTTTCGGTCCAAATCATTGTTCGACCCAAGTTTCGAGTCTTCAATGTGTCCACGTAATCACTCCAGGCAAATTTCGGAGGGAGATCGTCTAATTCTGTGAAGCGGTGCAATATGAAGTGGGTGCCGAATCCCAACTGTACAACCTCGTTTGGGGGAATCAGTAAATCTAACAAATTCTGAAGCATGAGAAAGTGGACGGAATGTGAAGAATGAGATTGAAGTGAGCATGGACAAAGCCAACAATGGAGGAAATGCACCTACTGCGTAATACACAAATAAGATGCGACGGCTCGTCAAGTTCACTAGGAAGCAGAAAAGAAGCAATACTCTGTGGGGCAGTTATGATCAGTACGCCGGAATGCGATGGATCTAACCGACGGGACCACCACATTGATCACAAATACCAAAAATTAAGAGAGAAATAAAGCAAAATTACATGATCAATAGTGGAAAAGCTTAGAGGTTAGAGCGACGAATTAGGTGCAAAAGCATGGTTAATTTTGTCGAAAGTATCTAACCATCGATATGACCGGTTTCATGGGTCACATGCAGTGAGACAGTACATACACAAACGGGGCGAAGTCAACAGGGTCGATTGTCACACGCCAATCCGTCCCGTTAATGATCAGCCAACACACAGTCAGTCAGAGTGTCAAAGATACAACCTACGTGTGAATCGATTGGCACCTGGGCGGCGTGGGCTAAAACAAGCAAATCAAGGTTGAAAGACGATGCTGTGAAGCGTCTGAGGCCAGGTACTGAACATTAACTGGCAGGTCTCTACAGTGGTCTTTGTGCGAACGCACCAGTCAAGAGTGATACTGCTCGGATGACAGGATCTAAAACTGTATCTAAATCTCTTCACCACTCAGTGACTGTACCTCAGATTCAAACATAGATACAAACCACACTGTGGCGATGTTCAATCAGCTGTAACCCAGGACAATAGTGTGCAGTTAGCTACCTAGACGAGTAGGATAATTGAACGCTATACGAGTCATGCCGAGCGGTGTATTAACATTTCCTTTGGGTTACTCACAGATATGAGAAAATAACACCGCTAAGTAAATCGATCGACCACTTCGGGCGGCTGTTTCGTGATGGAGACCCAATTGCATGTCGGTCGGAGTAATTAGTAGCAGCTTGTAACTGGTAGGAGTGAAATACAGTTCTCTGCAGTATTTCGTCTAGAAGCGACTGTACGACGAGTGGACTGGATTTCCAAATAGCTCTTTGAGGTTTGTCAACTGTTCATTCAGTGCTGATAAGCATGCAGGACAGTCACTCCATCGGTCGTAAGCAACTCGGGGAAAATAGCATCCAGTATGCGTCTACACAGTCACGTCACGTTAAGTTTATTTTTGGCTTGCAAAAAATTCGCAGACACGCCTGTCAGTGACAGTGAAGTGCCGTGAAAAGGTGCGATCTGCTAGAACAAGTACAAGAATGCAACCACAAAATATAATCCGTATGTGTGGCGCTGTCCCGGTATCTGGAAGAATGTAAACGTATATAGGCAATAAACCTGCTGTATCACCGCTGACTGTCAGCACAGCACTGTCGAAAGGAGAACACAGAAGACGAGGCAGGACAAGAGTGCATACATGAGAAATCTGCTTCACTTAAACGACACAGGAATGGTAGAAGCAAAGCTACTATAACATGTTGGAGCCAACCTCTAACATGAAAGACATTGAATAACACAAACGAATGAGAAGTGGCAGAATTAAAAAAAATCACGAGTGTCTGAGAAAAACGGTATTAGTGGAACTGGGACCCTGAGATGACATCCATTACGAGCGACGTGTGCCGACCAATCAAAGCAAAGAAACGATGCGTTCAAACAAATGCCAATGAACGAACGACAGCGAAACGAAAACCGGTAACTAAGCATTGTCACAAAAAAGTATATCCAGTAGGCATGCCTCTAACAAAATCCCCTTCTGATGGGAAAAAGTCAACCTCGCGATATGACTTGCTTGTGTTGTGGCGCAGTGGTTCGCACATTCCAGGGACTCATTGATCCAATAGGAGGAGAACTTGTTACCGTCACTATAGACTGTTATGCCACACAAGTCAAGGTTTGGGAAAATGATGTAGTTTGCCTCAGAACCCCTTTATCTGATGTTAGGGAAGGACAGAGGACCTCCACTATAACTCAGTCACGTGAAACAACAGTTAACGGGCTATTAGTTCAATCTGATTGGTGAAGAGTACGAAACCTAGGGATTGATTTTGATGATAGGGAGAATAAGCCTTACTCACCGGTTCGCTACTGTTAGTCGCAAGTACGAAAATCCCTAAGCAATAAAGGGAACATCATCTGAGATTAACATGGGGCTCGTTGTAGTCACAAGCCGCCTGTGATAGGACCAAAGAGTTCTCGTGGGAGTATGCGGTCATGCATCCTAAAGCCCAAAGAGCGAAGTATTTAGCCACGGTGTTCCGATGGTTCATCAAAGAAATCTCTGCTTATCCATTGCCTTATTAGTTGGATTAACGAGTTAGGAGCTCCAGCATGAGAACCATCAAAAAAATGTTTTGCTAATTGAGCGACCATATATTATGAGCTATCAGCGAGCAATAGAAAACCAATGAGCACCCGGATGTGCCGTCCCACCGTCAGAGAAAAAGTGCGGCGCTCGTGCTCTACGCCAATCGAGCGGTTTGATTATAACCCGTGGACCTGTTTTCTACCATGACTAGGTTTCACGGGAAGAGGGCCATCGACCACCTCCTAACCTCCGAAGAGGATGGCGTTTGGACAAGGATATTGGCAGGCACCCACACCTGACAGGAGAACGACTCGGGTCCTCAGACAAAGCCTCCGATTAAATGTACCCAGAAAAGCAGCGGGTTTAGCACATGGTCAATTCACTGACTCATACGGATTGGTGTCGTAGCTCTTAGCTAGGAGAAGGGGGTAAGCCAACTCCCACCCAGCGGTCGTCACGAGAAGGCGTCCAGGACATGAGCCCATGGCACAACAGTAGCAGCAGTGGGTAGACCATATGTCAGGATCCAGCCACCGCAAATCTCAGCACAACATAGGCTCTACCACGAATGACCGTAATAATCCACATGTGCTTTCTTACCCTACTTCATTCCGCACTAAATCTGTTGTGCTTCTGGTTCATAGTTACTTCATCTCTGCCGTCCCGTTGTCTTACCGATATTTCCCATTAACTTATTCCTTAGACCACATCCCTGGTCTTAGTAGTGGTGTATTTCCTCTATATCTCAACATCAAGAATCGGATAACTTGCCCACTCCTAATCATCCTATCTTTGGCATCTTCCACAAGACTACGAGCCACTGAATAAGTCCTGACCACAGTGAATAGGCGCTTATATTTTTGCCTACTTATCCGTTTAATTCTCCCTTTCAAACATTACCTCTGCCGCGCATAGTCACTCACGCCCTACATATCCACCTACGAGTGAAGGCTGAAAGGAATATAACTGAGCTCACCCAGTATCCAAACCATCTGGATATATATATATATATATATATATATATATATATATATATTCATACCCCTCATGTCTCCAAAGGTTCCGTCGAGCACTTAATCAGCGAAAAAACCAGAAAGTTAGCTGCAAGATGCAGAAGGACCCATGATTTTTTACTTGTCTTACAAATGCAAGAATTTACCACCAGTCAAACACGCGCTATCAACACGACGAACAAATGAAGAACTTACAGCCCTACCGACAAGCTGCAAAGCTAGTGAGCTTGTCAAAATACTGCATCGTAGAACCATTGACCGCTCTCCTCTGGTTATCAAAATTGTAGACGGTAGGGGTCACTTACTCCACGATACAGCTGAAATCTGTGAAGCATTCAGTGCTTTTTTTGCCACTAACATGAGTCCGGAAGCTCAATCTGTGCCTGTATGCACAGAGGTTACAGTAACGAACCTCTTAAGCAGAGTCGATATCGCGCTCAACGGTATCATCAATTTATCAAGTAAATCAGGACATCCTTCAAGCTGGGATCTGATGGAATTTCAGCAACCACCATTAAACTAAGGGGCCTGATATACCACTGTACTTGATCAACATATTTACCCTGTCGCTGGAATCTATTCGCTTTCCAGAGCGATGTCCCAGCACAAAGGAGGTCCCAAACAAAAGATTGATAACTACCGGCCAATCCACCACACTCCGATAATCGCTCGGCTATTTGAAAAAATGCTCAGAAAGGAGATGATGAACTTTGGCGATTTTATTGGCTTGATCAATAATTTGCAGCACGGTTTTCTGAGCAAGCGATCATGCGCCATCTATCAATTGTAATAGTTGAACCACATTTCGGCGTCAATCGATTCTGGCTATGCAGTAATAATCCTGTTTCTTGACATACACCAAGCATTCGATCGAGTAACTCACACGCGATTGTTACAAAAGTTGGTGAACTTTGGGATCCGGGACCTGTTACGAAGTTGCCTGTCGTCATACCTGAGTGATCGTCATCAGGTAGTCAGTTTAGGTGATTATCGCTCTTCCACACGCGCAATCACAAGTGGAGTTATTCAAGAGAGCGTGCCCCATCCCTTGCTCCTTTTGCTCTACATTAATGACCTCCCCACATCGGTAGAACATGGTACATCATTTTTATTTGCTGACGATATCAAAATCGTCTATAAGCTTCGGTGTGAAGAGCTTCACGGAATAGTACTGCTCATTCAAGATGATTTACATTCCCTTGAGTCATGGTGTTGCACTTGGGTGATGAACCTCTCGGTTAAGAAATTAAGCATCTTACGACCGCTGCACCCCCGAAGGATCTATCACCCTAAACAATGAACGCATCCCTACACAGTTGTCCACGCGAAGTCAGGTACTCGTCTACGTTCAATTTCTCCGAATAAGCCCAATACCAAGTAGCAAGTGCCCAACCGCCTATGTTCAATATATCAAACAAAATACAGACAACTGACGCTAGAGTTGAGCTTTTCAAGGTACTCACTCGTCCCATCCTCGAATACTGCAGCATAATATACGGCAATATGAGAAAGAGTGACAGCATTGATGTGGAGCACCTGCAGAGTTGGTTTACTAAACATTTGATTGCTAAGCACTCTGCTATCAGTTAACAAGAACGTTGCAATGAACTTCACCTCAAAGCACTTTGGATTCGGCGATTGAAACACAACTTGTTGCCGCTTTTCAAG